ATATCAATAAAGGTATACTCAAAAAAAAAAAAAAAAAAAGAGGATATTAGGTAAAAACTAAATCTGAATAAAATATAGACTTTAGTTAATAATAATGAGTCAGTATTGGTTCATTAATTGTAACAAATGTACCACACTAATGTAAGATGTTAATAATAGGGGAAACGGTGTAGGTATGGTGAGATATTTTTGATAATTCTCTATATTATCTGCTTAATTTTTCTGTAAATCTAAAATTGTCCTAAAAAAAATAAATTCTATTAAAAAAGTACAATTTGCTTGAGGCAAAGACATGAATCTTCAGAATGAAAGAAACAAAAGAATGCTAGTATAATGAAAGAAAACATTGTATTTCATGCCCATGATTCTAAATCCTTTCCTATCATACTTCCTGAGCATTTATTTGGGGGCTCTCAATCTCACAATCTAGAGAATGAGTTTAGACCCTCTCACTGGCCTTGGACTTTAAATGTTAGCCATGTGTTTTTCTCTGTAATGACAAGAACATAGAGCAAAAGGGCACTAACATGCATTTTTCAAGTTCTCTAATTCAGTTTTCAAAAACTCCTGGTTAGAGCCCTGGCCAGTGTGGCAGGCTCAGTTGGTTGAGCGTCGTCCCATGCACCAGGAGGTCACTGGTTCGATTCCTATCAGGGCATATGCCCAGGTTGTGGGCTCCATCCCCAGTGCAGGAGGCAGCCAATTGATGCTTCTGTCTCGTTGATGTTTCTCTCTCTCTCCCTCTTTCCCTTCCTCTCTCTGAAAACATATTTTAAAATAACACTCATGGTTAGAGACAAATTTAGGAAATTTCAAAACTCCAAGGTAAAAGAAAAAAATCTATAAGGCTTTCAAAGAAAAAAAAAGTTATCCAGAAAGGTTAAAAAATCAGATGACATCATGCAACATCAGATAGAATAAAATGTCTTCCAAATTCTAAGGGAATAATATTGTCAACCTTGAACAAAACACACAGGGTGGGGCAAAAGTAGGTTTACAGTTGTTCATATGGAAATACGATAATTAATAAATAATAACCAAGAATAAACTGTTTCGCATACTCACGACTGTAAGCCTACTTTTGCCCCACCCTGTATTTTAAGCACACAAGAACTTTGAAAGTTTACCTCCCACACCTAAGAGTACTCAAGAAAATAATTCAGCCAAAAATATAAGTAATCCAAGAAAGGATACATGATCTAAGAAACAGTAGGTGCTGAGTCTGTCCTAGATTGGGGGTAGGAGTGGAAGATTAGAAGGAAAATTAAGAGGCTTTATTACATCTCAAGGCTTGGAAAATTCTCCACTGAACGGTGACATATTATATGAATTTCCTTTTCTATGGTTCTAATCCCACTACTTGAGTCTATATAGATTGATGATATAAAATCACATTGTAAATTCTGTTCATTTCTCCTTTTGAAGTATGATTACTGATATATTTGGATGTATTTTTATCATCTTATTTTATGATTCCTATTTATGTTTCTTTCTTCTTTTTCTGCCTTCATTTATATGGAATTGTTTATTGTATGTTTGAAATATATTTGTTCACAGCCAATGGTAATTCATTTGGGAACTGCTCTTAAAATTTTAACATGCATGCATGCATGCATACTCAACTTAAATGTGAGGTTAATCAATGTTCTGGAACAATACAAGGACTTAAGATTACAAATCCAAATATTTCAGTTCTACATTTGTTTTATTGCCCTTCCACCCCCAAGAGGCCATAACTATTGCTTTACACATACAGCTCTGGCTTAGATTTACTGTACTGAAGACTGTTGGTGTTCCACCCAGATCCCTCTTATTGTCAGTATATCCACTGTCAAGCAGTAGTATTAGCTGCTGATGGCTGACAGTTGCATTATTCTCCTGAGAATTGTTCTGGCAGGACAGTGCCTTCCTGGCTGGGAGGTTACTCACCCCAAGCCCTAAGGGAAGACTTCAGTCAGTACCTGATATGGGGATACAAAAAGCCAGCTCCCTTGCGACAAGGGGGGGCAACTTAGTGATGCCAGCATTAGTTTTCTATTGTTCCTGTAACAAATCATCACAAATGTACTGGCTTAAAACAACATAAATTTCCTATCTTACAAGCATGGAGGTAAGAAGTCCAACGTGGGTCTCACTGGGCTAAAATCAAGGTGTTGGCAGGGCTGTGTTCCTTTCTGGAGACAACAGGGAAGAATCTGTTTTCTTACCTTTCCTAGCTTAAAGAGGCTGCCAACATTCCTTGGCTCATGGCCCCCCTTCCTCCATCTTCAAAGTCACAACACAGCATCTGTCTGATCATTCTTCTGACTCTTTCTGATTCTCTTCTGTACTCTTCTTCCTTTTATAAGGGCTCTTGTGATTCTGAGCCCACCAGGATACTCCAGAAGAATCTCTCTGAGATTGGCTGATTAGCAACTTTAATTTCATCTGCAACTTTCATTCTCCTTTGCCATATAACCTAATATATTCACAGGTTCACGGGACTAGGATGTGAACATTTTTGGGGAGCCATTATTCTGGCAGCCACAGTACCCTTCATGCTCCAGAGCTATTTGCAGGATCAGGCTAAAGCTAGATTCCAGCTGAACCCACATAAAGGGAACTACAGACCTTCAACAGTAAACAGTATTTGTCATAATAATGTGTAAAGCTTTATAGGAACTTAATAAATTGTTACTACAAGGATGTAAAAAGGAAAGTGTTCTAGAACTAAATCCGTATCTACAATAGAAAATCCAAGTTAAGTCATTTATCACAATAGAAAGTCTATGTAGGTAATACCAAGACAAATAACCAATATAGTTGACACTCCTCTGGAGAAAAAGCGACTAAGTTGGAGAGAGGTAAAGCAGAGTACTCTTTTTTTAGAAGCTTTCTTTGTAGTCAAATACTATTTGACTTCTTGAACTATGTGCATTATATTTTTTAATATTTTTATTGATTTTTATAGAGAGAGAGGAAGGGAGAGGGAGAAACTTCAATGTGAGAGCAAAGCATCGATCAGCTGCCTCCTACACGCTCCCCTCCTGGGAATCGGGCCCCCAACCCAAGCATATGCCCTGACCAAAAATCAAACCAGCAACCTTTTGGTTGACGCCCAACCAACAGAGCAACACCGGCCAGGACTCTCCTATATAATTATATAACCTTTCATATAGAAATATTTGCCTCTATTTGAGGGTAGACAGTTTTGTGCCTCTCCCTAATTTCCCAGTGTATCATACACAGAACAGACACTATAAGTATTTCCAAAATGAACACAATGAGCCAGCTACAACTCCCCACAGTAGTCTGCCCCACTGTATCATATGAAAGTATCATGCAGATATGGTACAGAGAAGCATGGCCAAGGTTCTGCCTAATGTAGAATACAGGGTGGGGCAAAAGTAGGTTTATAGTTGTACGGAAAATAATACAATTAATAAATAATAATACAAGAATATGAAGTTCACATACTCACAACTGTAAACTTATTTTTGCCCCACCCTGTATTTTACTCTTTTAATTTCATAGCAATGAAAAGTTTGGCGAGGCATAAACAGAGAAAAGCTCAAAGGAAAAAAAACAAGTATTTATAAGCAAAATCATTTCTGAGTTTTATTTAGCATTGTATCTGAGGCACTAATGAGAGTAAAGAAAGAACATGATCAATCTCACATTCAATTTTAAGGAGTCTTGCGATAATGAAAGCACACAGATTGTGCCCAATCTTCAAAGTATCAAATGCCTTATTTTTACAATACACAAAATATACTATGGGGACTTGCTATCAAAAGGAGATAGTCTAAATATCTGCAGTCTTTCCAATCTGAAGGTTCCAACACATGTTGTTCTGAGGTTTTTCCCAATTCGAGAACCTAGAAGTCTGTGGACAAAATGAACAATACAGAAAGCTCTTCTGAGCAAAGGAGCCTCAGAGGAAGTGTGATGGCGGCCCTGAGAATCAAGTCAAATGGCCTAGTGTTCAACAAACATAATGCTACCAAAAGTTTAAAAGCCTTAGCACTTATATCTCTAGATGAAGGAGAAAATTCTCTTTAAGCTACAATTTCATAATTATATAGAAAATCATGGTTCTTCAGACAATAAATTCATATTGTACTACTAAGTACTTTTAGGTAATTTTTACCACTTGTGAAGAAGACAAAATAATAATTAGTACTTTCAGAACCAAGAAAGGAAGTTCACTCAAAGTTAATATATCAGTGAACCAACTATACATACCGCCAAACTAATTAGTTCTGCTTAGGCTGCTAGGATAAATTAATAAAAAAAAAATTAGAAGCTTATATACAAGAAGATATTTTACAACTACAGACACTGAAGAAAGGGAAAAAAAGCTTTAAACATGTAATATTTCCTTAGTAGAGCTTTTCTTGAAATTATTTACTACAGTTATTATATAAGCAAACTAAGAATTGCAGGGGGAAAAACCTAAAAATTGGTATTAAAACTGTTTAATATCTTGAATAATTCTATTTCTAAATCCTTCCACAAAAGGGAATTACAGCTCAGTTCATTGCAAACATATCTTTAAAAAAAAAGTAAGCCCTAATGTTGCAGCTATAATACAAATTTTCATTTATTGGCACTATACTATAAAGCACAATGAAGAACATCTGATTTAAATAAATGACAGCCATGTTTGGATCAGGAATACTATTGTACACATACCATATAGATAGATGGTTTTATAGCAGATACTAATTTGCCAAACTTCAGACGGCAATATGCTAACTTTTGAATTTGAAATTGTCCGGCTAGTTGTTTCTTGTTGCCCTAGAGAGTAGGGTGGCGTGTAATGTTGTGAGACCGCCTTGTCACCACCACTTCTTTTCTCATAGGTGACTCCGCTGTGGTAGAACACTCATATTCTTAAGACGCAAGGCCTAGCAAAAAGCCTCCCACAAATCCACTGGATATCACAATGTTCTGTTTGACAAATTCTGTTGCCTGAAACATAAAGTTTAAACAAAAACACTCTTAATTATGCTACAAAATGGGTGAACCTCAAAAACATTAGGCTAAGTGAAATCAGAAGGACCAATGTCATGTGATTCCATTTACATGACTAGTCAAATTCACTGAGACAGAAAGTAGAACAGAGGTTACCAAGGACTGGGAGAGGGGTTGATTGTGGGAGTTGCACCTTAATGGTTAGTTTCTGTTTGGGATGATGAAGTAGTTCTGCAAAAGGATAGTGGTAATGGTGGCACAAAAGTGTGAATGTACTTAATGCCACTGAATTGTGCCTTTAAAAATAGTTAAAATTATCCATTTTATGTTATGTATATTTTATCCCAATGAGAAAAAGAAATAAAGTTTCAAATTTTTGAAGATACTATTGAGCCTAGAGCCCCAATCTAGGCCCAGCAAGCTTCTTGGCTACTGAGATAATAAGTAAATTTAACAGATATTGAATGCCTACTCTGTGCCAATCACTGTTCTAGGCCCTCAGTTTAGCAATAATCTCACAGGTAAAAAGAAATCTACCTGTAGAACAGACGTAAATGGCCCATTCATCAAGTTATTAAAACAGATTGTTTAATAAATTCCCACAGCATACACAATGAATGTTTATTAACAATCCAGTTAGCCAAGAAAAAATGTACAGAATGAAAAAAATACCACCTTTATAAAATATTTAACCCAAATAAAATGATGAAGCAATTAGACAAAGCCAAACTGCCCAGATGCTTGAAAATGTCAGTGTCATGATAGAGAGGGGGGGAAAAGAAAAAAGTCCCAGCCCTGGCTGGTTTGGTTCAGCTGGCTGAGCACCATCCCATGCACCAAAAGGTTAGTGGTTTGATTCCCGGTCAGGGCACATGCCCAGGTTGCAGCTCGAGCCCCAGTAGGGGGCATACAGGAGGCAGCCAATTGGTTTCTCTCTCACACTGATGTTTCTCTCCCTCCCTCTCCTTTCCTCTCTCTAATATCAATAAAAACATTTTTTTTTAAATTAAAAGAAAAAACCCCAGATGAGGGGTCTTGTTCAAGATTAAAGGAAACTTCAGACATATGACAACCAAATGGAATATATAATTTTAAAAAATATGTCTTTACTGATTTCAGAGAGAGGAAGGGAGAGGGGGAGAGACAGAAGCATCAGTGATAAGAGAGAGTCATTGATCGGCTGCCTCCTGCATGCCCCCTACAGGGGATTGAGCCTGCAGCCAGGCATGTGCCCCAACCAAGAATTGAACTGTGATCTGTTTCATAGGTCAACGCTCAACCACTGAGCAACACTGGCCGGCCAGAATATATAATTCTTGATTAAGAATAAAAATATTTTGTGGAAAAATTTTAATATGGACTGTATATCAGGAAACACTATTGTTATCGTGTTAAATTTGTAGGGAATAATAAGGGTAAAGGTAGTTGTATAGAATATCAGTACTCTTAGGAGCTATGTGCTAAAGTACTTAAGAGTAAAAAGTCATGACATCTTAAATAGTTCAGCAAAAATAAAAAGCGTAAATCTCACACACATACATATACACACAGAGATAAAGTGAATGTTGCAAAACATCTTGGTGAACAGATGAAGGGTATTTGGGTATTCACTGTATTTGTCTTTTAACTTTTCAACTGATTTGAAATTTTTCAAAATAAAAAGTTGGAAGAAGTAAACGGATAGAACAAAAACAAGGACAAGGGAGTATTCAATTCTAAGCAGAGTACAAGAAGAAAATAAACAAAACATACATAGAAACATTAGTAAAACTAATACATTAATAAAATATACACATTTTCAAACTATTTCACCTCAAGAAAAATACAGGTAATTTTAGTTTTCCCGGACCTTGTCTACACACGTACACATTTGTAAAAGCAGAGGAAAAATTCTGGAAGAATAATGTTATCAGCTTTTACACGTAGATCAAAGCAGGTGGGAGATGGGCAGGGGGAAAAAAAAAGGGAGGCAAAAATGTACATTGTCTTACCTCTTCAATTATATTGTTGATTTCAGGTGCTGCTTTATTTGCTCGTTTCTTAATCTGTCTTTTTGCTTTGTTTACACCTTTTTCAACTTTCTTCCAGTCAATCTGCACATAGCCACTGTGACTAGCAATCTACAAAAATGTAATAAAAATGGTTACTTCCTGCCCTGGCTGGTGTGGCTCAGTTGGTCGAGTGTAGTCCCATGCACCGAGAGGTCACTGGTTCAATTCTCAGTCAGGGCACATGCCCAGGTTGTGGGCTCAATCCCCAGTAGGGGGAGTGCAGGAGGCAGCCAATCGATGTTTTTCTCTCTCTCTCTCTCTCTCTCTCCCCCTTCCTCTCTCTCTAGCATGAATAAAAACATACTCTTTAAGAAATATATGAAATTTAGAGGTAAAGAAATCATAATTTATTCATTTAACAGATAATGAGTTCCTACTCAGTGCTAAACACTATTCTAGGCCCCCAAGCTACAGCCAAGAACAAGGGAGACATAAGTCTCCAACCTCAGAGAGGTTTTGGGTCTGTTGGGGAAAACAGATATTAAATATAAATAATTACTTAGATGTGATAAACACTATACTAAGAAAAGTATAGGATATGATAGGCAAGGTTCCAAAAATTATATTATAACTGTACTATAATTCTATCATAATTTTTGGAATTTGGTAGCGAAAAAAGGAACAGATTATCAAAATTCTACAGCTAATAAAAGAGCACCTTTTAATTAAATAGATGTCTAATTATAAAGGATCAAAAACCAATCAGTTATTAGGTCACTAAAGAAATCTAAAGTAGCCTGATAAAAACTCTTCACTCAATCTGACTCTACTTAAGAATACTTTCTGGTAAATGATTTTGAAAGTGGAATATAAAAGAAATAGGCTCTACATAAGTTTCATGCCATAAATCCTTTAAATAAACCTATAGCGAAATGCCTATTAACCATAAGAAAAACTCTCATACGGTGCTACTGAGACACTGAAAAATCTGAACAGGTACAATAGTGTGTGTGTAAGCCAGTAGAGTAAGTTAATCCCTCCAAATAACAAAATCAAAATATAAAGAATCACACAGTAAGCCTGGTATACCATTATAAATCACTTCTATCAAATTAAGGCTTTTTTGTAATCTTTTAATGTATCACTTTGACTATGAACCACACATAAAATACTTCAAAAATGAAAATATCTGATTTTATATAAATATGTTGGGAATCTCAGGTTCCATTTTCACTCTGAATGACTACAAAGAATTTATTTATCTGTATTTCTTCCTGTATTTATTCACCTTCTATCACTCACTTCAAATTCCAGCTTCAGCAAAACATTGCTGATTAAATCAAATGGCGAGTGAGTTTTTCCTGGCAGTAGTTGAGATAGAGATTTGGATGGAGGTGATCATGAACCTTCGGAACTCTCCCATAGAGAGCAACTATAAACCCTGGTTAAAATACAAAGGCTCCAGAATTAACAAAAGTAAGCAGATTTTGAAGGGGAACTGAAACTTGTAAGAAGGGTGACCAATATAAGGTGAGTTGCCCATTTTTCTAGTTTTATCCTGAGAGCAGGATGCAGTGCAGGGTGGCAAACACTTCAATAGAAAATATACCATCTTTCTACCCTGAAGAACCAAAAAACAGAGCCCAGGACAATAACAGCTGCCAGAAAGGAGAGAGCTAGAGAAGGGGTCCCAAATGCTGTGTAAACTTTACCCAAGTCCTGAACCACACATTCAAGGGGCAGAAGCAAGTATTCTGGCTAAGGCTAAAATACATAAACTGGGATTTGAGCTGCTACCCACCAAAAGTGAAATAAAGTTTGCAATTTGAGTCTAACTAAATTAACTGCTTGCAAAAATCAAATCAACACACTTCAGAGGAATAAAACAAAATCCAGAGTCTCCACAACATAACATTCCCAATGCCCAGGATAAAATCCAAAGTTATTTGATATATCATAAAATAGAAAAATGTGGCCTAGTCTCAAAAGAAAATCAACAGATGCCAACACTGAGATGACCTAGATATTAAAATTATCAGGATTTTAAAGCAGCTATTATAACTATGCTCAACAACGTAAAGGAAACTATGTTTATAATCAATGAAAAGAACTCTCACCAGAGATGCAGAAAATATAAAAAGAACCAAATGAAAATCCCAGCCCTAGCAGATTTGGTTCAGCAGTTAGAGCATCAGCCCACAGACTGAAGAGTCCCAAGGGCACATACTTTGGTTGCAGGCTCAATCAGCACATGTAGGAGGCAACCATTCGATGTGTCTCTCTCACATAGATGTCTCTCTCTCTCTCTCTCTCTCTCTC